ATGCCTTTGTTTATTATTCTGATGAAGTTGTGAGCAGTGAATAAAGAGGAGAAGAAGAGATATGCACAAGAGGAAACTAAGAGACACATAATAACAACATGACTTGGTGCAATGACCGTAGCGATGTTCAGACCCTTGAAAGAACCATTCCCTCTCCTCCGGCGGCGGGGGCTGAGTCCCCGGCAGCCTCGTTTCCGGTCTCTTGTCACAAAACGTGTCCTTCTTGTGGCCATAACTTCAAGTTTCATGAACAGGTTCTTGTTTCTCTCTCTAGCTAGCTAAATCACAGTCTGATACATTTTAATTTGGATGATTGATATGAATAAAATATTACGATGTATGTACAGGCGGGGATCCATGACTTGCCGGGATTGCCTGCCGGAGTGAAATTTGATCCGACGGATCAAGAGGTATTGGAGCATCTTGAAGGGAAGGTAAGAGACGACGCAAGAAAGCTTCATCCTCTCATCGATGAGTTTATTCGTACCATCGATGGTGAAAATGGCATCTGTTATACTCATCCTGAGAAATTGCCAGGTGATTCTATCTTGTTTTTCTCCATCATATCAAATGATTAGCTAGTTCTTTTATTGAGAGTATGATTATATTTTTCGTCTTCATATAATCTTTATATCCGACATGAAAAAAGAACAGATATATATAATTTATGAGTAATATGAAACTTTAAAATTATTTCAATACTCTTTTTCATACATTAATTTTCTTAGATGCAATGAGTTTTTATATACTGTCCATTTTTGTTAAATTAATTAGATTTTTTTTTTAATTATATAGTTTTGGTTGATAATCAGATTTTGTTATTATATTTCTAATAGCTAGTAAAGGTTATTGAAAACTAAAAAAAAAAAATACATGGAATTTTTTATTAAATCATATTTTCTTACAGAAGAAATATGTCATATATATCTGGTTGTTTCTGTTAGAGTGTCAAACGACTCAAACATAATTAAATTAATTTTTCTTAAACGCTAATTAGTAGTTGAATACA